ACATGGCCGTCCACCTAAACTGACTAAACTGGAGAGCATTAATCAGAGAAGCAGCCAAGAGGTCCATGGTAACTCTGGAGGAGCTGCAGAGATCCACAGCTCAGATGGGAGAATCTGCCCACATGACAACTATTATTTGTACACTCCAAAAATCTGGCCGTTGTGGAAGAGTGGCAAGACTTGAAAATTGCTGTTCACAGATGTTCTCCATCCAATCTGACAGAGCTTGAGCTATTTTGCAAAGAATGGGCAGAAATGTCCCTCTCTAGATGTGCAAAGCTGACAGAGACATCCCTAAAAAAGACTTGCAGCTGTAATTGCAGCGAAAGGGGGTCCTACAAAGTGTTGACTCGGGGGGGGGGGGGGGGGGGGGGGGGGGGGGGGGGGGGGCGAATACAAATGCACGCCACACCTTTCAGATATTTATTTGTAAACAAAATTGAAAACCATTTATCATTTTCCTTCCACTTCACAATTATGTGCCATTTGTGTTGGTCTATCACATAAAATCCCCCCAAAAACCCATTAACGTTTTTGGTTGTAACATGACAAAATGTGGAAAATTTCAAGAGGAATGAATACTTCAAGGCACTGTAATAACAATGCACTGTGCAAAAACAGCTAGAAAAAATAATATATCTAGTGAAAGATAAAAGAAAACCAGATTCCCCCACCACCACCTTGTACTATTTATTTGAATTGGCAGGATAGGCAGAAGAGAATGGTAATTAGTGCATTGAGTGCTCTTTCGGTTATGGTTGCATTTTGTGATTAATTTCTTCTTCAACAAAAGCGCGTTCCACTTGGATTGTCTCAATATCTAGTTGTATTTGTTACACTCAATGTAGCATTTTTCTGTCATTATCTATGGGCCTAATGGCTTCATGCAGTGAGTGTGGTTTTGTCTGCCTTTTGATTTTAGTAATATTCCATTTCCTGCAAGTCATTTAGATAGGGGAGTGTGCATAATTGTATAAATGCAATAAAATCACTGTAAAGAAAAATAATTTAGGTCAGGTAGTGACTTATTCCAGTATTTTCCAAAGTAGTCTGGCTAATCTTAGGGATCTTCATGGGTTATGTCAAATGAGCAACTTCACACCTCAGGGTCTTTTTAATTGAGATTCACAGAGGTATTTCCTATGCAGAATTGAAAAACAAGACATCAGTCTACTAGAGGTGATTAATGGAAACTGCTCTATTGTTGTTTTATAAACTGAATGTAGGGTTTTCCTCAGTGATTATGTGAAGATTGGAGAGCAGTTGCTATTGAAACCCATTCTGAGATATACTATATGGCCAGAAGTTCCTGAACAATCCACCACTACACCTATATGAACTTTCTGGACATTTGATTCCAAAAGCATGACCATTAATATGTAGTTGACCTCTTTTGCAGCTGTAACAGCCTGCACCATTATGGGAAGGTCTTTCCACAATATTTTGGAGTGTGTCTGTGGGAACTTGTGTCCATTTTTATAGTCAGGTAATGTCAGATGAGAAGACCTGGCTAAAATAAGCATTCCAATTCATCCCAAAGCTGTTCAGTAGGGTTGAGGTCAGAGCTTTGTGCAGGCCACTTGAGTTCCTCCACACAAAACTTTGGGCACAGTTCTGCTAGAACGGAAAAGCGTCTTCCTTGAACTGTTATCACAGGATGAAAGTGCAAAATTGTCTAAAATGTTTTTGTATGCTGTAGAAATAACAATACCCTTCACTGGAAACACCTGAACTCAATAATTTGGAGAGGTGTCCAAAAGCTTTTGGCCATATAGTGTTCACCAGCTAAAGACATCACGCACCATTCAATTAAAGGGTGAGTGCACTCCAAATTTTTCTTGAAATCTATTTCATTTAACAGTTATTTTGATAGAGTTGATGGACTTTTTAATTAACCACTGGCCTTTTTTCTCTCTCTGGGGTTAAGCTTGCAAAAAAAATGACAGCAGCACATGGGCAGTCCTAGGAAATTAAGCAGAGGTCTCATTGTTGGTTACAAAATTCCATATTTTCTTGATAGTCAATAATTTTTAAACTTCCAGGTTAAACCAGGTGTGTTATTCACAGTGCACAGGAAGTAAATGTTTATAAAGGATGTGGAGTGGGAAAACTGCCTTTGAGGGTAGCATGGCTAAGATGCCCATAAGATTTAGGTTCTGAAAGGCTTTGATTCCAGTAAGGGAAATCTTTATTGAATATTACTATATAGACACTATTGATGCGTTTTTATGGCACAACTTGCCACATCCAGTATCAGTGTCCAAAAAGTCCTTGCCGATGCTGAAATTCAGAGTAAAACAGCAGTGTTGTTGACACGCTTAACTCCACCAGGACAGCGTTTGTTGAACAGAAGTCCTGAAGAAGGAGTCAGATACAGCACAATACATGTTAATAACGTCTGTGTTAATCTTCAATAAATATTTTATTTTCTAAGAACAAAGTCTCACTTTTATTTCCTTTGAGAGCCTAACTATGTGCATCTCAGCCAAGCTACTCTTAAGCTACTTTCAGCTTTTCCAAGTCAAAAGGTCCTGTGCTTCTCTTACTAACATTAAAAAAAAAACCATGCACACCAAAATGGGTGCATAGGGACATATATTTTTTCCATAAGTTCCTCATCACAGGTTTGCAGATTTCTCATGGCTTCTGGTAACCTCTCAATGTAATTACGGTTGGCTATAGATGATTTAATTTACAGGCTGGTTGAGAGAAAATCAGTTGATTCCCCCATCCATGCCAACAGAGTAGGTGGAAGATTCTCCACTGTTAGCTATTGTATTCAGTCAGCCATGGCACATGTGTCTGTTGTCTGTATGAAATAACAAGGGAAGAGAAAGATACACCGCAAACCACCATAGTGTAGTACCATTAATAGAAACACTATATTAAAAAACACAAATGGGAGCTGTGCAAGATGGAAATCAAGTGATTATGAATTGTCCACACTCCATGGCCCTGGGGCTTTGATATAAACAAGGAGAGCAGTATCCCAGAATCCTTCCCTGACTGGCTGTGCTTTGCACCGTGGAGAACTTGCTGGAGCTGTGCTTGACCCAAGGTCCGACCCCTTATTCAACATCACCTTCCCAGGGAAGTTCCACTTTAATGCATTGTCCCCGCCCCTCTTGCAGGTACCCTCTCGCCCTTCCGCTGCGATTACCTAGGGCGATCGGAAGCAGAAGTTGTCCTTTCATCCTGTAGTCTTCTGGGATATGTGGCAGCTCCCAGAAGACTATGGGACCAGTCACAAAGTGCAGCGCTACTCGCACATGCGCAGTGGGCACCTGGCTGTGAAGCCACAAGCTGTCACAGCGGGGTGCCCCCACTGAAGATTCCGGCGCCCGGGAGAGAAGTCGGTGAAACCACCAATAGTGAGGACACCGTTGGACCAAGAGACAGGTAAGTGTCTGTATTTTAAAAGTCAGCAGCTACAGTTTTTTTTTTTTTTTAAATCAACTGGTACTCCGCTTTAAACTGCATGTAAGATTCATACATATTTGTCACCCCTCTTTTTCCTTTTTACATATAATAGTTTATTCATTCACTACAATGGGTCCGAGAGCTATGTGCTGTGTGCCTTTTGCCACTTAGATTTTGTTTTTTCGTCTTGTTTGTTGTCTGTATAAATACCTGAACAATGATTACAAATGATTGGCTTCAATCACTGTTGGGAAGATAATTTTTTACTCGATTCAAGTTAATGTGCAAATCAACTTTTGTTGAGCTGGGTGGTGTTTGCAAGGCCACCCATGGCACAAATTTCAAATGTCTATGGCAAGCATAATGTTTCCAACCTCATGGAATGACAATGACTATACTATACTATATGTGTCTCTCCCCTGTTCTTACTTCTTTCCTGTTTTGGAAAACTTACTAGATCAAATGTTTTTTATAAAAATGTTTTATTCTTTATCTTAGGTTATTTGCTGACAAAAGAATGTAATACACCTGTGCATAAACTGAAATGCAAATAGTAGATGCAGATTTTGACTGACGGTCACAATACAGTGCAGGTAAACACTGTATGGAGGGACCCTAAGGATGGCCATACATTATACAAGTTTCCTTTACATTTACCAAAACCATATAATATGATGTCAAACCTAAACACTTTAGATTTAGTGCCAGGGTTTGCCTAATTGCATATAAATTGAAAGGAAATTTAAATTTAAATGAAGCTGAGTAAAAAAATTGTATAATGTATGGTCAGCTTAAAGCTTATAGCGGTGGTCTGTTGTCAGCATCGTGTTGCTAAATGATGCATTTAAAACATAAACCCACTTTTGCTGCCAAAAACAAAAAAAAAACCACTGCCCTGGTAAAATATACGCTATATTGTGTGAAATCTAGCATCAAATGGTAGAGCTTTAAAAGGACACCTCCACTCGCTGTCTTTTTTTTTTTTAAGGGCTTTTTCTGGCCCAATTTTAAAAGAAAAGTTCAAAGAAGAATAAAAAATCAACATAGGTTTCCCTCACAGGGGTTTTCAGCATTTGTCTTCCATCCAAACAAATAATCCTTCAGAGAAAATACATGTGCAGTCTCCTGGCTTACATATACATCACCATAGCTCAGGCTTTACTCTTCAAGCTCTGGTCTGTCTCCTACAGACCGTGTCCGTATACCATTCAGGACCTCTCTCAACAGCTTAGTCCACACTCTTGGCAGCCACTTGCTGCTCCAGCTCCAATCTGTGCTCCTAGGCAGAGACCTCTATCTGCTGGGGTGGAGCCTAGAACCCTAGTCAGGTTATTACTTAACCGCCTTCCGCCCACCATATAAAGTAATGACAGGCGCAATGCGGTTCTCTCATTCTGGGAGGATGTCATATGATGTCCTCCCCCTCTAATTGTGCGTACTCGGCTTCAGGAGTGCGCAGCACTGCGATCGGTGGTGTGCTGTGTCCCTCGGACACAGCGGATCACCAATCAATAGAAAGACCCAAAGATGTTGGCTTGGTCATGTGATCAGCTGTGTCCAATCACATGTAAATAGGGAAATGCCAGTTATCGGAATTTCTCTCCTCACGAGCTGTCACGCTGACAGTTCGAGAGGAGAGCCGGTAATCGGCATTCCTCGGAGGGGACATGTACACTGATCATCAGGGCACTGATGATCAGTGTAGCCCCAGCAGTTCCACCTGTCAGTGCCCATCAATGCCATCTGTTAGTGCTCATCAATGCCAGCTGCCAGTGCCCATCAGTGCCTCATCAATGCCACATATCAGTGCCCATCTGACTGCCTTTCAGTGCCACCTATCAATGCCAGTCAGTGCCACCTCTCTGGGCTGCCAATCAGTGCCACCTAACAGTGCCAGTCAGTGCCACCTGTCAGTGCCGCCTATCAATGCCATATATGAATGCTGCCTTTCAGTACCCATCAGTGCCACCTATCAGTGGCTATCACTGCAGCCTCATTAGCGCACATCAGTGAAGGAGAAAAATCACTTACTTAAAATTTTATAACAAAAACTAAGAAAACACGTGATTAAATACCACCAAAAGAAAGCTCTATCTGTCTCAAACAAATGATAAAATTTCATATGGGTACAGTGTTGCATGACCGCGCAATTGTCATTCAAAGTACGACAGTGCTGAAAGCTGAAAACTGGCCTGGGCAGGAAGGGGGTATAAGTGCTCTGTAGGCAAGTGGTTAAAGCCCTGCACACACCTGTACAATTACAGAAAACATGGACCCAGGATTGGAGATTTCATCCCTCCCAAATCTTCAGCCTCCAGGTCCCAAAACAGACTTTATGAACAAATGAGGAAACTGAAAAGCCAGTTTCCTCTGCATTAAACAAACCCCCTGTAGCCCCTCAACCTGTTTAGTTGAGAATCCTGGGCTATAACCTTAATTCACACTATGGGAGTGCCCATAATTGCCACAATTGTCAAAAGTATTGGGACACCTCTCCAAATCATTGAATTTAGGTGTTACAGTCATCTCCATAGCCAAAGGTGTATAAAATCAAGCATCTAGGCATGCAGACTGCTTGAACAAACATTTGTGAAAGAATATGTAGCTCTCAGGAGCTTAGAGAATCCAAGCGTGGTATTGTGATAAGTTGCCACCTGTGCAATAAGTCCATCCATGAAATTTCCTTGCTACTAAATATTCCATGGTCAACTGTTAGTGGTATTATAACAAAGTGGAAGCAACTGGGAACAGAAACTCAGCCACCAAGTGGTAGGCCACGTAAAATGACAGAGCGGAGTCAGTGCATGCTGAAGCGCACAGTGCACAGAAGTCACCAACTGTCTGCAGAGTCAATAGCTAAAGACCTCCAAACTTCATATGGCCTTCAGATTAGCACAACAGTGTGTAGAGAGCTTCATGGAATGGGTTTCCATATCCGAGCAGCTGCATCCAAGCCTTACATCTCCAAGTGAAATGCAGTGGTGTAAATCGCGCTGCCACTGGACTCTAGATCAGTGGAGACGTGTTCTCTGGAGTGATGAATCACTTTACTCTGTCTGGCAATCTGATGGACGTGTCTGTATTTTATTTTATTTTTTATTTTTTATTTTTTATTTTTTTTATTATGTATAATAGATGATTGGAGTGATTTCATTGCACTTTATTTTTATCTCCAATTGCACTTTATTTTCACTTTGAAGCACATGGTTTGCACTATCTTAGTTTATGTGCATATGTGTATATGCACTATCTTTTTACATATGTTCAGTAGTGTGTATTTTATGTAGAATATTTTAGTTAAGTGTGCACTATTCTATTAATTTAATTTATTGTAATCAGTTTTAGGGAGAGCGCTGCACTTTATATTTATATCTGTATTTGGTGGTTGCCAGGAGAACGGTACTTGCCTGGCTGCATTGTGCTAAGTGTAAAGTTTGGTAAAGGGGGGGATCATGGCATGGGGTTGTTTTTTAGGGGTTGAGCTTGGTCTCTTAGTTCCAGTGAAATGAACTCTTAAGGCATTAGCAGACAAAGACATTTTGGACAAGTTCATGCTCCCAACTTTGTGGGAAGAGTTTGGGGATGGCCCCTTCCTGTTCCAACATGACTGCACACCAGTGCACACAGCAAGGTCCATAAAGACATGGATAAGCGAGTTTGGGGTGGAGGAACTTGACTGGACTGCACAGAGTCCTGACCTAACCCAATAGAACACCTTTGAGATGAATTTGAGTGGAGACTGTGAGCCAACTCAATATTTAACCATACGGACTACACTATGCAATTTTCTTACAAATTTCTGTTAAGTTTTTGCCCAATTTCCTTTAGATTTAGCTTCAGCTATGTAGTGCAAGGGCCTGCCTAATTGGATACAATTGAAAGCGTTGTTTAGGCTTGACCTCATATTTTTTATGGTTTTTGGTAAATCAAAAGTAAAATTCTCAAGAAAATTGTATAATGTATGGCTAGCACAAGACTAGCCATAAAAGTTCATGTGCATGTAAAGGCAGGCATCTCAATACTTTTGGCAATATACAGTAGTGTATATATGATTATAGACTCAGTCCTCTTGCCTTTTCCAGTGAAGCTCACACATAGGTACCACTCACTTCCTATTTCTGGCAGCCACTTCCAGTTTGCTGAGTGTGAGAATATTTCTGGTATAGTCACATGATCAGTTCCAGTGTCATAACTGATTTGATCACATTATCAAAAATAGGACATTAATGTGGGTGTTTTATACACCCAAAAACTGTAATTTATTTGCAGATTGCAAAGGAAAAAAAGGCTTGTGTATCAATTGTTTGTGATCAATTTATTTAAAAAAATAGTATTAAACTTTAAGCATTTTGTTATCCACATGGTAGTGGAATTGGAACTCCCCAAGCCAACTTCCAGAATGATTTTGTATAAAGAAGCAAGTTTTGTATTGATTGGTTGACTCTTTTTTCTTTCCCAGACCCCTTCTTCCTGGTGATCTGTGGGTGTACGCAGCTTGTCAGACTCTTAGCCCTCTCTGATAGTAGTATTTGCCTTTGATGAGTAAGAGCGATGCATCACAGCAGTTTATACCCCATCAGTTATTTATGTTATAGATTTATTCACAAGGCGGTTTTAGTGTGCTGCGTACTGTTTCACTGGATCTACATTTGCCTCCGTAAAATATAGATACCGTCCTTCTTTACAGTCATCAGGTGGTTGTGTTCCTAACAAATCCCAACCATAATTTAAAAATACCATGTTCCCCATTGCCCCCACCTCTTTTTATCCCAAACCTTGTTACTGACTTTTTAAAAAGGGATTTTGTTGATACTGAAAAGAACAATCGGACACAGTTTTGGTGTTTAACCACTTCAATACCGGGCACTTTTACCGGTAGCCTGGAGAGAGCAAGCAGGATCTGGGGTGATCCGCAAGGCATTTTGGCCCCTGGGGGCCGCAGGGGGAAGGTGAGCAGGCACGCTAGCCATTTTGGATTCTCACCTATCACCTACACTGGCGAGAGGAGCAGGTTTTGATTAGTGTTTGTGGGGTGCCTAACACTAAGTTTATGGACATTATCATCACGCATTTGTGTGCCATATACACTGTCGTCCTAAGACTGGTGTGGCGGTGATCAAGGACACTGACTGGTGACAGTACAAAAAAAAAAAAAAAATTCCACTTTTTAATTTTTTGTTACAATTTTTTTTAATAAATACAATAATACACTGACCAGAGAAGTATAATGTTACCATAGTAACATTGTACTACTCTGGGGAAGTGATCAGTATTTCTTTTTTTTACACATTATGATTTCTTAAGCAACCATTATACTGAATGAAATCAATTAATTCAGTTTGTTTTATTGTAATTAGCTGTGATTGGCCACAGCTAATCACATGACACAGCTGGGCTATGATTGGATCACTCTGTACCATGTGATCACAGCGACCAATCACAGCTAGCAACACAATTGTATACAATGGATGGCATAAAAGGAAGCCATCCATTGTTTACAATTGTCATGTGACCTGCTGTGATTGGTCACATGGTACCGGCAATGGACTGGTACACAGAGCAGTCATCAGCTGTGTTCGATGGACACAGCCGGTGACAGATCTCGCCACAGCACAGCCCTGATCCGGGAGGATGTCATAGGATGTCCACCTAGATTGACGAAAGTCCCGCCCGGCTGTCATTGTACTATAGGCCTGGCAGGAACTGGTTAAAATACATCTAAAGCTTATTTATTACTTAGCATTTATTACTTATTATATAACTTACTCATTATAACAGCATATTTAAATAAAATGTGCAGAAAATTATGTTTTGTACATGTTACTTTAAAGTGGTTCTAAAGTCTAAAGGTGTTTTACTTTAATGTGAAACACCTTTACCCCCCTCACCCCCCTCACCTGACGCAAGCAGGGCAGCTCGGGAGCCTACAAAAGTGCCCTCATAGAAAGTGGCTTTCTGTGGGGGCACTCTGTTGGCAGGAGGAGCCGGGAGCGATGGGAGGGGACTTGAGAAGAGGAGGATCAGGGCTGCTCTGTGTAAAACCATTGCACAGAGCAGGTAAATATGACATGTTTGTTTAAAAATAATAATAATAATAATAATAATAATAATAAAGCTTTACAATCACTTTAATTGTTTATAGCAGAACTAGAGTGAAGAATAACAAAACCAAAAAAAAAAAAAAAAACCACAGCTTTTGCTGTAATGCCTTTAATCCAGAGTTGTCCTCCACAGTACTTCTTTCCTGATACCAAATGTCCTACATTTTCCAGGTTGAATGATGGCCAGCTTCATTCATTCCACTTCCTCTGAGCCCAGGCTGTCATAGGCCAATCCCCTGCCTGTGACTGAACAGTGAAGGAGAAGCAGTACAAGCCTTGTCAGCACATGAACTGATTAACGCCTTGTGCTGCTACTTCCTCCCTCACACTGAACTAAAATTCAGGTATTGACTCTGCCTGCATTAAAATTATACATTTAATTAGCTGCGTTAATTCAGCTTCAAAACAGCTCAAACGCATGTACAATACCCTGTTCAAGGGCTGGAAGCTGCATAAAGGACAGCTGCTCTCCATTTCTGCAGGTCCAACATGCCTCCACTGAGTCAGAGCTAGAGTTTTTCAGTCACTAGGGAGACCAAGCTTTGCTGAAAGAAAACTTCTAGCTCTGACTCAGCAAGGGAGCATGCCGAATTGCTGCAGAGAGAGACCAGTGATTACACATAGCAGCTGTCCTTTTTGCAGCCTCCTGCCCTTAAACTTGATTTTTGACTGGCACTTGAGATAAGTTAAGACAAGGCAATTAAAATAACACATGTATATAGCACTGTTTTACTGCAAACGTTTATCAGCAGTTAAAGCTGAACTCCGGGATAAGCATATAATATCTAACTACAGAAGTCATGTGCATTCTTCCTTGAATCTTGATGTGCTTTGTGTATTTCTTCCAGATTTCTGCAGTAAGT